TCACCTTGTAAATTTAGGGACAGGAAAAGAAAATCTGGAAGATGGAAGGGTGGTGAAATAGGTAACCAAGCCCTAAGAGCTTAGGGCAAATAAGTACAGCAGCAAGTTTGTGACTAATATTAGTAAATTACAACCATTGGGCAGAATTGAATGCTCCTCAGATTATTATTATTATTATCACTATTATCTATTTTAATTATTTACCTATTTATTATGGCGGGGGGGGGGGCTCAGGTTGTGTATACAGATTAAAGAACTAGAAAACCCTTACACTGCCATCAACCTCCACTGAGACTGATTCTCAAACTTCTTTATATAAAGTTCATTAGCTTTTTGAAATTCACAAACTTCTCACAAAGGGGGTGGCACAAGATTGGAGGAAAAAACTAAAGTCCTTTGTGCCAAAGTGGTAATAAATGAGACATTTTTTATTGAAAAATGTGCAAGAGTTCAGTAAAGATTTACTGAAATAACTAAAGAGTAAAACTAATGCAGCCATGAAAAATAATGTAGATAAAAATAATACATTTTGATTATAAAAGGATAATTGATTCATACAAAAAGGCTATCATGAAACACTTGGTTGTTTTCTTTTACAGCATTACTAGAAGGAATCATCGTCACAGTTTTCGGAACCATAACCAAAGATGGCCGCACCTGGATGCCAGACCCTGACAACAACCGCGTGTCCTGGTCTTTTGGACTTGCTGTCTTGTCTGCATTTTTGGCTCTTTTCTCTGGGATGCTGATGCTTTTAACGAGAGCCCAATTGTCAGATGAGACAAAGGCGGAAATGAAGTAAAATGTGTGGCAATTTCCAGGACTGTTGCTGTTTAATATCATGTAGAATAATTGTAGATTTTTATACAAAAAGTGTAATATAAATATTTTTAAAGTTTCAAAATATTTCACCCAGACACTTGAAATGGGGACAGTGACTTTGCAACAGAACAGACAGTTTTATAGGTAGTGCATTTACAGGAAATATTGTAAAAACCCATACAATGGGTGAAAAGTGCCCTACTTACATCCCTGTATAAACACATGAACTATATGTGAACAATTTTGATATTTTACTGTGAATAAAACAATGTTCATGGGTGCTTTTTTTAAGAGGAATTGACAAATGACATGCAAAATGTATATGAACCTTTGTATTATTTGTAAATATGTCTTATCCCTTAGGCATTAGTTTAACAAAGCAAAACTGAATGTTTTAGAATAGTTAGTAATAGAATATGACCTTGTGAGACATAACTTATGTTTTTATCCATATTTTGAATGAAAAAACTGTTGGACTACTCGTCAACACATCTGAATGGAATATGTAGCATATGTAGATAGAACACTAGTAGACTCAATATATCTATGGAAATATTCATATTTTTACCAACTTATACTGCTTGTCCTTGATATATTTTTCTTCTCCTAAAATGTTTCCTGTTTTTTCGATTGTTTTAACTGAGAAGACTTAACAAACAGAAGTCAAGTTTGTCAGAAGCATTTCATACCAGAAAAAAAAATTTTATAAGCAAATGTAAATAAAGAAATAGTAAACATACTAAGTATGGTGTTGCAGTTTTTTTAAGTAGAGGCACAGTT